GGGTGGAGCTTGACACCAGTGGTTGGGCCATCTGGCCACCTGGCTTCCAGCAATGACGGAGGGGTTAGAGCCTAGGATGGTGTCAAGGTGTAGATCGCGCCATGGATAAGACTGAGTCATTTTCCTAACAATTAGTGCAGGCTTGACAGAGGGAGTTTGGTCACTTTTTGCCTTTCTTCTTCTGCCACATGAGAACAGTGTTCCTGCACACAGGTGGATGCAGCATGAAAGGTGCCATCTTGGAAGCAGAGAGCAGCCCTTACCAAATTCTAGTGCCTTGATCTTAGACATGCCAGCCTGTGAGAAGCAGAAAACAGACCATTTCACTTGGCATCTAGGACCTTGCCTCCCCAGTTTCCTACTTGAGAATCAGTGAAGGCCACGGAATTCTAGAAAGCTCTAGCTCTTCTGATGTGGAATAGGGGTGGGGGTAGACGAAGAGAGGCTGTGTGCTTTCCTAGAAAAAGGACTATTTTAAAGTGAGATAACTGCTGCTGCTGCTCCCAACTGTCATTATAATCTTGGATGTGTGGCTTTATCTTTCCAAGCCTCTCTCAGTTCTCCTTGCTTTGAATCCTGCTCCCCCTTTTATACAGTTGGCCTCTCTGGCATTTTTTTTCTTTTTTTTTTTTTAGCCATGATCACCTCTCCGCTACCCTCTTTCTGTCTGTCTGTAGTCAAATCAGACTTAGCAATGATTTTGCTCACACTGCTCCCTCAGTCTGACGACAACAGCATGAACTCAACCACATCTTCTTTTCAGGTAAAACTGTCTTTGTGCTCTTATCCTATTTTACCCACTTCCCTTATAACTGTAAGATGTCACAGAAAAAGGTTTACAGAGGACACAGAGTTCAAGTCAGGACCATATGTCACAGCCATGTTGATTTGAATCAAACCCTTAAACTTTCTAAGCATCAGTTTCCTTAAATGAAAAATGGGACAGGCAGGAAGACACTATGTTTCTAGCAACAAACTGCCCAACTCATATTGCAGCTCTACTACTTTGAGTCCAATTCTTAGTATCATCCTTGATAGAAATACAGAATAATAGTACATACTTCAAAAGGTTGCTGTGGAGATTCATGAGGTGTGAAGCACTGATATGTGGCCTAGCACATTGCAGGCATCCAATCCAGATTAGTTATCATCATTAGTGTTATGGGGTTATTGAAAGGACACGTGAGTCTGTGAATATGTATTGGACAACTTCTGTTTGCCCCTCTAGATCCTCTTCTCAACTTCTGCACCTCACTTGTACCCTCATAAAGCTGAGCTAGAGGACTTGAATCAAAAGGCTTCTTTAATTTGGGGCTTCTCATTGGCCTAATGTAGGCTTCCTCCTTGGGAAAGCTCTATGGGTCATCTTTGCTCAATTAAAGGCCATGGCTCCTGTCAGATGGCTGCCTCCATAGCCTTCTCTACTCATTGAAAATGAGTAACCACTCTCCTCTCTTGGTAATGATTCGTTGCTATTATTGGCTCTGAGATACTGCACTATCTTGGTTTTCCTTTCCCCTGTTAGCTCCCTTGTAACTAGTCTGTTTATTTAAGCTCTACTCTGGTTGAGCATGTTAGCTGCTTCCTGCCTGAAACTCAATTGATAGAGTATACATCAGAGTACTTTGTAAAGTTAAAACATATGTCTTAGCCTACATGCTTATTTGTCCCTACATTCCCAGTAACTGGTAGTGGTGAGCATTTCTAAGCATTGCAGCAAACAAAAATCCTATTCTTGGTAAAAAAAAAAAAAAATCTACCACTGACCAAATATATCCCTGGATATTGCATAGAAATCTCCAACTCAACTTGACTACTACGACCCTGTTCCTTCTCTATTGCTAAACACTGTTTTCCTGAATGCTGACTGCCCATATGAAAACTTCAGGACACTTTTACCCCCTCTTAGCATCTACTGTCCAACATGTGCAAAGGAAATAAGGATTCGCACAAAGAACAAGAAAGCTTGACAGACAAGGTGGCATTGATCTGGGTACCATTTTATTCCTCCTTCACTAAAATTTCCTCCATGATGTCTTCCAGAAACTTTCATCTGTTATCTGTCTAATCAAAAATTGCATCATTTGATAAAAGTCTTACAACTCATTTTTATCACCAGAGACCATAAAGGACAAATAAATAAATAACAACAAGGGTAAAGATGCTTTAGGGGAAATGTATATTTTATTCATTGTTTATCCTGAGCATTCAGTAGAGTTCTTGGAACATAGTAGATATTCAATAAATGTTTGTGGAGCGAATAAATAAGTGAGTGAATAAAAAAGAGAGTTGTACAAGTGATTAACTTTTTCTAAAAGATTATCTTTTTCTGAATCTTTTCCACCCAAAATTGAGAATAAGTCTTTTTTTAAAAATTATTTATCTATTTGAAAGGCAGAGTTATAGAGAGGAAGAGGCAGAGAAAAAGAGATGGAGAGAGAGGGAAGCAGAGGCAGAGGGAGAGAGAGAGAGAGGTCTTCCATCTGCTGGTTTACTCCCCAAGTGGTTGCAACAGGTGGAGCTGAGCAGATCAGAAGCCAGGAGCCAGGAGCTCCTTCCAGGTCTCTCACATGGATGCAGGGGCCCAAAGACTTGGGCCATCTTTCACTGCTTTCCCAGGCCATAAGCAGAGAACTGGATTGGAAGTGAAGCAGCCAGGATTCAAATAAGTACCCATATGGGATGCTGGCACTGCAGGTGGCAGCTTTACCTGCTATGTAGGCACAGGCCACAAGTCATTTTAAAAAGAATTGACTTTTTATAGAATTATACTTTTATTTTTTGTTAGACATACTTTTCCACGACTTTTATAAGAAGTATTAGAATTTATCGTCAACACCAATGGACAGAAATTATTACCAGATGCAAAGATCCAGTAGAGAACTGTGCCTGCCTACATTTGCTCCACCTGCAACCTCCCTTTGTCACTCTCAGCCTCAGGTCTCTGTCTGTGAGCTTCCTGGTTAAAGTCCCTTTGCTATTTTCACTTGTTTGTTTACAGTACAGTTTGTTTCCAGCTGTGAGCTGTAGTACAGTAACCCATTTAAAGGCCTATCATACTTCCTCCTAGAGATAATTGATGCTAATGGAGCATGAAACAATCTGTTGGAAAAACTGGTAGAGAGTTTCGGTTTCTTTTCATGGAAAATAAAACTTCCAAACTTGATCATGTGTGAAAATAATGTCAGCCATTTCACTGAAGGAACTGATTTTTAAGAAAATAACCTTTTGCCACAAAACTATCTGAATAGAAAGGGTAACTGAGCCAAGGGCACAAAACTGAGATGTATGTTTATTACTCCCTTTGTACAGTCCTAATGGGTTCATGAGGATTGACTATAATGAACAAACAATGGTTCTGATGAATGAATTTATTGGTTAATTCATAAAACATATGGCAAGCTTCCTCTGCCAGAAGTATTTGAGCAAAAGAAAAGCAAATGAGAAGCAAGAATAAATAAATTACATGATATAAAAACAATGTTTTTAAGTAGACCAGAAAGGTCAACTAACTAGGGTTTTATTGATCTGGAAAATAGGAAATCCCAGTTCTATTCTAGGCACATTTGCACAATGTAACCTCAAATTGGAGGTCAAGGCCATGTTTTTATTAAAACTCAACAGATGCTGGCACAAATTCTCACACCCTTCTGAATGTTATCACAGTTTTGTCCTATAAAGTTCAGGCTGCAAAATTAATGAATATGCTACACAAGGAGAAGCTACCATCTCCACGTTACTTTGCCTGGGTAGGCCTGTACTGTGTTGTCAAACAAATCCCAAACCGTAATGGTTTAACTTAACAGAAGTTTATCTCTGCTTTACACAAAGTATACTCCTAATCCAGGTGATTCTTTGGTCTTTCTTGACTTCCATTTTAGCACAAACTTTCAAGCTGATGGATCACTTCATAAGAGAGTAGGATGCTTCTCAAGGGTTATCTACCAACTATTAAATAATCCAGCCAAGAATTGCCACTTAGTATCTAAGTTCAAGAAGGGACATGGACTCATGTCCACAGAAATGCTATGGAGGTGCCATCAATAGTGTCTCAATTCCCTTATCTCCAAAGTCCAGATGATCATCAATTTTCTCCTTAGCTTGTGTCTTCCTCTACCCCACAAGACACTGCATTTTTAAGAGAAAATTGCCACAATAGACGTGACCTTAGCTTGACTCTTGTCTGTCCCAATTCCCAATCTGTCACTACCTTAGACAAGTTATTAACTTTTCCAAGCCTCATTTACCTCATTTTTCAAATGGAGGTAGTAGTAGTACCTATCTTATAAACTTGTGAAATTAAAAAGACTAATAATACATGAAAAGTTGTAGACATGGAATAAGCATGCAGTAAATGCTTGGCTATTTCAGAAACTGCAATTAAGATCAAAGCTGCACCTGCTGCCCATTCACCTTCTCTACTCACTGAGAAATGCATGTGAGAGATGGAGATTAAGCAGCACTTGGCAAGGAGGGCTGGAAAGGATGACACATGAATCTCTGCCCAAGGTTGTACACAGAAGCTGTAAAGCTTCTGTGATACTGAAAGGAGCATTTGAGATTTTATGAGAACTTTGCAACTTCAGTGAAAATGAAAGTGATATAAAATAGGCAACCTAATTCTCTGGAATCATTTCAAAGGTAGTTTAAGCTTATTTTGAAATGTAAGCAATGGCTTACCACAGTCCAATAAATAAAGCCTGCATGAGGCTTTATCAAAGCACATCTTGCCTTTTATACTTATTTTCAAGAAAGATACAGATGTAATTCTGTTTAAACCAAACCTTTTATACTAAAATTTTGAATTTATATGAACTAATTAGAGGCATGATTCCTCACATTGCAACAGGATCCAAGTTAAAAATTTTTGAAATGATTTATTTGAAAGAGTTACAGAGAGAGGGAGAAAGAGAGAGAGAGAGAGAGAGAGAGAGAGAGAGAGAGAGAGAGAGATCCTCTGTTCACAGGTTCACTCCCCTAGATG